ATGAATACAAAACTTATCAAAACTTGGATACAGCAAAGGTAATGATTAGAGGGAAATTTAGAACATTGAATTAAGCTTTTACAAAAAAAGGAGAGAAATTAAATACAAACTAAGCAAAGGAAATAAATAATAAAAATTACAGCAGAAATCAGTGCAATCAAAAACAGGAAATCAATAGAGAAAATCAATGAAACTAAAAGCTGGTTCTATGAAAAAATAAAATTCACTCTGGGAGGCTGAGGCGGGTGGATTGCTCAAGGTCAGGAGTTCGAAACCAGCCTGAGCAAGAGCGAGACTTCGTCTCTACTATAAATAAAAAAGAAATTAATTGACCAACTAATATACATAGAAAAAATTAGCCAGGCATGGTGGTGCATGCCTGTAGTCCCAGCTACTTGGGAGGCTGAGGCAGGAGGATCGCTTGAGCCCAGGAGTTTGAGGTTGCTGTGAGCTACGCTGACGCCATGGCACTCACTCTAGCCTGGGCAACAAAGTGAGACTCTGTCTCAAAAAAAAAAATAAAATAAAAATAAAATAAAATAAAATTGATAAACCTCTACTCATGATAATTAAGAAAAAAGAGAGAATACAAATTATTATCAGAAATGAAAAAGGAGACATCACTACTGGTCTCATGGGCATTAAAATGATAGTAAATGAATACTATGAACAACTCTTTGCCCACAAACTTGACAATCTAGATGAAATGGACCAATTCTTTGAAAAACACAATCTGCCAAAACTCACAAAAGAAGAAATAAGGCAATCTGAATAGGCCTACATCTACTAAGGAAATTGAATCAATAATTAACAGACTTCCAAAACACAATGCACCAGGCCCAGATGGGTTCACTGGTGAATTCTACCAAACATTTAAAGAAGAAATTATACTAATTCTCTATAATCTCTTCCAGAAGATAAAAACAGAGGAAATATTTTCTAACTCATTTTATGAGGTCAACAATATCTTAATATCACAATAGATAAAGACATTATAAGAAAACTTCAGAACAACATTTCTCATGCAAAAATCCTCAACAAAATACTAGCAATGTGAAACTAATAACATATAAAACAAATAATACACCATGAACACATGGGATTTATTCCAGGTGTGCAAGGCTGGTTCAACATTAAAGAAAAATCTTATGATCAATACATGTGGAAAAAGCACTTGACAAAATCTGATAGTCATGATAAAAACTCTCAGTGGACCAGGAAGAGAGGGAAATCACCTCAACTTGATAAAGACCATTTACAAAAACCCTACAGCTAACATCATACTTAATGGTGAGAAACTTGAAGGTTTCCTGCTAAGATCAGGAACAAGACAAGGATGTCCCTCTCATCACTCCTTTTCAACATTGTAGTGGAAGTCCTAGCAAATTCCATAAGACAAGAAAATGAAATAAAAGTTATATGGATGGGGAAGGAAAAAATCAAACTGTCTTTGTTCACAGATGACATAATTGTATATGTTGAAAATCCAAACAAATTAACTAAATCCTCCCCTCCCACAAATTTCTGGACCTAATGAATGATTATAGCTAGGTTGAAGGATAAGAGGTTAATTTATAAAAGTCAATCATTTTACTCTATATCAGCAATGAACAAGTCTACTTTGAAATGATAAACACATTACCATTTACATTAACAATCCCCCAAAATGAAATACTTATAAATCTAACAAAATATTACATAATCTATATGATGAAAACTAAAAAGCTCTGATGAAAAAAAATTAAAGAACTAAATAAATGGAGAGATAGTCCATGCTCATGGATAAGAAGACTCAATATTGTCAAGATGTCAATTTTTCTCAACTTGATCTACAGATTCAATGTAATCTCAATCAAAATCCCAGCGTGTTACTTTGTGGATATCAACAAACTAATTCTAAAGTTTATATGGGAAGGCAAAAGATCCAAAACAGCCAACTCAATATTGAAGGGGAACAGAGTGAGATGACTGATACCACCCAACTTCAAGACTTCCTATAAAGCTATAGCAATCAAAACTGTGGGCTGGGTGTGGTGGCTCATGCCTGTAATCCTAGCACTCTTGGAGGCTGAGGTAGGAGGATAGCTTTAGCTCAAGAGTTCGAGACCAGTCTAAGCAAGGGCAAGAACCTGTCCCTACTAAAAATAGAAAAAAATAGCTGGGTATTGTGGCTCATGCCTGTAGTCCTAGCTGCTTGGGAGTTTGAGTTAGGAGGATAGCTTGAGCCCAGGAGTTTGAGGTTGCAGTGAGCTACGATGATGCCACTGCACTCTACCCAGGGTGAGAGTGAGAATTTGTCTCAAAAAAAAAAAAAAAGGCTGTGGTATTGGTGAAAGAATAGACAAATAGATCAGTGGAACAGAATAAAGAGCTCAGAAATAGACTCATATAAATACAGTCAACTCATCTTTGACAAAGGAGCAATACCATAGAGCAACACTTTTCAACAAAAAGAGCAAGTCTTTTCAACAAACACTGCTGGAACAACTGGACATTCACATGCAAGAAAGATGAATCTAGATAGACACATATCTTTCACTCTTTATAAAAATTAATGCAAAACTAATTGTAGACCTAAATGTAAAACACAAAACTATGAAACTCCTAGAAGATAAAAGGAGAAAAACCTAGAGGATCTTTGGGTATGGTAATGATCCTTTAGCTACAGAACAAAAGGCGTGATCCGTGAAAGGAAGAATTTTTAAGCTGGACTTCAATAAAATTAAAAACTTCTGTTCTGTGAAAGTCACTGTCAAGAGATTGAGAAAGCAAGCCACAGACTGGGAGAAAATATTTGCAAAAGACTCATCTCATAAAAGACTGCTACTTAAAATATATAAAGAACACTTAAAACTCAACCATAAGAAAATGAATAACCTGATTTAAAGAAGGTAAAAGACCTGAACAGATACTTTTACCAAAAAAGATAAACAGATGACAAATAAGTATGGAAAGATGCTCCACATCATATATCATTAGAGAAATTAAAACAACAGTGAGATAGCACTACGCACATTATTAGAATGGCCAAAATCCAGAACACTGACAACATCCAATACTGGCAAGGGTATGGAGCAATGAGAACTTGTATTCATTGCTGGCAGGAATGCAAAATGGTACAGCCACTTTGGAAGACAGTTTGGCAGTTTCTTACAAAACTAAATATACTCTTCCCATATGATCCAGCAATCGCACTCCTTGGAGTTTACCTAAATGAGCTGAAAATTATTTCCACACAAAAAACTTACAGCAACATTATTTATAATTGCCAAAACTTGGAGTCCACTAAGATGGCCTTCAGTAGGTGAATGAATAAACTGTAGTACTTCCAGACAATGAAATATTATTCAGCACTTAAGAGAAATCAGTTATCAAGCCATGAAAACTCATGGAGAAAGCTTAAATGTATATTACTAAGTGAAAGAAGACAATTGGAAAAGGCTAAATACTGTATGATTCCAACTATATCACATTCTTGAAAAGGCAAAGCTCTGGAAACAGCAAAAAGATCAGTGGTTGTGAGGGTGTAGCGGGCAGGAGGGGATGAATAAATAGGTGGAGCACAGAAGATTTTTAGGGTAGTGAAACTATTCTCTATGATAGTATAATGATAGGTAGATACATGTTATTATACGTTTGTCAAAACCCATAGGATGTACACCATTGACAGTGAACCCTGGTAGATAAACTGTGGACTTTGGTGATGATGTATCAGTGTAGGTTCATGGATTGTAACAAATGTACTACTCTTGCGTGAGACTTTGGATAGTGAGGAAGGATGTGCATTATATGGGGCGGGGGACATACAGGAACCCTATTCTTTTTTTTTTTTTTTTTTTTTTTGAGACAGAGTCTCGCTTTGTTGCACAGGCTAGAGTGAGTGCCATGGCGTCAGCCTAGCTCACAGCAACCTCAAACTCCTGGGCTCAAGCAATCCTTCTGCCTCAGCCTCCCGAGTAGCTGGGACTACAGGCATGCGCCACCACGCCCGGCTAATTTTATATATATATATTAGTTGGCCAATTAATTTCTTTCTATTTATAGTAGAGACGGGGTCTTGCTCTTGCTCAGGCTGGTTTCGAACTCCTGACCTCGAGCAATCCGCCCGCCTCGGCCTCCCAGAGTGCTAGGATTACAGGCTTGAGCCACCACGCCCGGCCAGGAACCCTATTCTTTGTGTTCAATTTTGCTGTGAACCTAAAACTGCTCTAGAAAAAAAGTCTTTTTAAAAGGAGAAAAACATACGGTCTCCAGAGAAGAGTCAATTAGATATCTCAACAATTTCCAATATGTAAATTATAAACTAATTTTGAAGAAAACTGTAAATTATTTTATTTTAAAAACTACGGCCGGGTGCGGTGGCTCACGCCTGTAATCCTAGCTCTCTGGGAGGCCAAAGCGGGCGGATTGCTCGAGGTCAGGAGTTCAAAACCAGCCTGAGCAAGAGTGAGACCCCCATCTCTACTATAAATAAAAAGAAATTAATTGGCCAACTAATATATATATAGAAAAAATTAGCCGTGCATGGTGGCGCATGCCTGTAGTTCCAGCTACTCGGGAGGCTGAGGCAGCAGGATTGCTTGAGCCCAGGAGTTTGAGGTTGCTGTGAGCTAGGCTGACGCCATGGCACTCACTCTAGCCTGTGCAACAAAATGAGACTCTGTCTCAAAAAACAAAAAACAAACAACAACAAAAAAAACCCTAAAATGACCGTATTGAAAAATAAATTTTTAAGGAAAATGCAATAATGAGGTGTTACAGGTGTGGCTAAGGCACTAACTAAAGTATATAAATAACAAGAATGATTGCTTATGTTTTTTTAATGTTCAAATAACTCATATCAAGCTTTTAAAATTATGTAGGGCTGGGCGCACACCTGTAATCCCAGCACTTTGGGAGGCTGAGGCAGGAAGACCACCTGAGGCCAGGAGTTCAAGACCAGCCTGAGCGAGACCCGTCTCTACATAAAATAGAAAAATCAGCTGGGTGTGGTGGGATCACCTATAGTCCCAGCTACTCGGGAGGTGAGGCAGGAAGATCGCTTGAGCCTAGGAGTTGGAGGTTGCAGTGAGCTATGATGATGCCACTGCACTCTAGCCCAGGTGACAGAGTATCAAAAAAAAAAAAAAAAAATATATATATATATATGTGTGTGTGTACTGAATAATTGTTTTTATATTTTAGAAATTTTATTAGTGAAAATAGTTTCTTAGTTTTAAAAAGACCACCAACATAAGAAGAGTAACTAGTTGTTCAATAATAAACATATTTTTTAAAAATGTCATTGAAAACAGTGTTTTCTATCTTCTTTGCGGACCAGGATCATCATTATCCTAAGGGTGGGTTTTTTTGTTTTTTCAGTCATAGCACAGTTGCTAAGAGCAATGAGACCTGTCTCCTTGTTCGACTCTGGTGGGTGAGGCTGACTTCTCCTACACCTAGGAGCAGGAAAGAACATTTCCAGAAGGCTCTATGAAACATTTCTTCATGCTCTTTTTCCAGATATGAATTACATAACCTTGAACCCATTATTGGCAAAAGTGATGGAATTTAAGTCTAACGGAGCTTTTTCTGGGTTTTATCTGTGTGGGAGAGGATAAGTTTGGAGACCTAACAAAGTCAGAATTCTATTAGAGAAGAAATAGTGGATGGTTGCTAGGAAGCTAACAACATTACCTACTACTGGTACTATTTTGCATCTATTGCTACTAAATTTCATTCTCATGAAAGCAAAATTTTATTAAGTTAGCAGTTTATGGATTAATTTATGAATTTTACAAAAATGATTGTTGTATTCCCATTTTCACTCAGCTCAATATATACATTACTTCCCTTGAGACTTCCTCTTTGATAATCTACAAGTTTTGGACAATTTTCCTATTATGTTATTGATTTCTAGTTTGATTCAGCTATGATCATAAAGTATATTTTATATGGCTTCATTTATTTCAATGTGTTAAGGTTTGTTTTATAACCCAAGATTTGGTCTTTTTGGTGAAATGTCCCATATATGTTCAAAAAGAATGTGCATTTTGTATTGACTGATATTACTGTTCACTTTTTATATAGTTGTTGACTTTTTGTCTAGTGGGTTTATCCATTACTAAAAGAGTGGTGTTGAAATCTTCAGCTATAACTGTGAATGTCTTTTTAATTTTAGTTGTATTAAAAAACAGCTGTATTATTTAGAGCAGATACATCTGTTATCCTCTTGTGATCTGACCCTTTCATTATGATGTTCATTATGTAACACACTTCTTTGTCCCTGGTAATTTTGTGCTGAAGTCTACTGTGTCTGATATTAATCCAGCCACTCCAGCTTTCTTTGGATTAGTGTTTGCAAAGTGTATCTTTTTCTATCCTTTTACTGTTAACCTATCAATACCATTGTATTTTCAGGGAGTTTCTTGTAGATAGCATTTGGTTGGGTCATGTTTTTTAATCCATTCTCCCAATTTTTACTTGATGTGTTTAGACCATTTAAATTGAATATAATCATTGATACATTAAACTGTAGGTCTGTCATTTTATTGTTTTCTGGTTTGTTCCTCCCATTTTCTCTTACCTGTCTTTGAGTGAGTTATTTGGGCATTCTTTAGTATTCCATTTTGATTTACCTATGTTTTTGAGTGTATCTCTTTACATGTATTTTTCAGTGGTTACCCTAGGTATTGCAATACACATATGCAGTCTATTGTAGTCTGATGTATCAACACTTACCACTTCAAGTGAAATGTGGATATTTAACCACCATTTAAGTCCCTTTTACTGTTCCCTCCATGATATGGCTATCTTTAATATTACCTCTACATAGATTGAGTAACACATCAGACAATGTTGTAACTTTTGCTTTTAACTGTTAAATAACTTTTAAATTAACTTTTAAAATCTAATTTTAAAACTGGATATTATACTTGCCTTCCATAATAATAAACTCAGTGTCTACACATCTACTCATTTACTCAACATCCAATCATCCAGACTTAAATTTACAACTTTCCCATACATTATGCATTCCACACATATATCCAACTGTGATCCTTGAAATTCATTTGATACTTGTTTCTAATGTATTTGAGAGTCTGACCAAAAATCTGATATGTCTCTAAGCTCATCCTCTGAGACCTATATCCTCTTTCCTTTCCTTTTTAACTTATTCATATGTCATTTTGTAAGTATTTACATTTGCTTCATGTAGTACTTTTCCCAATTGAACCATAAGCTTCTTGATAGTGGGTTTTTATTCATTCTGTATATTGCCCTAGGACTTGTTGTGGTGTTCTAGCATCTAAGTGACACATAACTTTATAAATTACTACTGATTAAAAAAATTCAGCTATTTATGCATACAATAGATCATGCACAAAGATTTCCACAAAATGTCCTATTTATACATCTAGCAGTAGAATCCAAAACACCTCACCCCTAAGGAACTTGTGACCATGAGTTATTCCTGAAGAGAAAAATTTGAGATCAAACTCCCTGACCTTAAACAGTTTAGTCTAAAAAGCTTGTTCCAAAATAGCTTTAAAACAGTTTTGTCCTAAATACATACGCAGGGATGCAAGTGACAAGTGTACTTTCATAACTCCTTTGTGTATGCATCCCACCCCCCCCCACACACATACAAACACACACACCCCCATTACACAGCTAACATACTGTACTCAATCACCCCATTTTAGAATAGGAATCATTTATTTCTATGAATATGATTTTAATAACATTCCTTAAGTATTTCGATAATCAAGGTTTTCTCCAAATCACTTTTAAGTGATGAAAGCAGTGAAGGACTCAAGGCTATAGTACATTTTGATAGTGTTTGATAGGCCTTTTCAGGTCAATTAACTTAGTTTCTTGCAAATATAAATCAAGCTTGTTCCAGTTCCACAAGGACTCCCCCACAGTCTTTAGGATGGAGAAAAATCACTGGTTTTCCATGTGCTCCTATTTTGGCCTCTTCACTTAAGCAACGGACGTTCTTTTTTTTCAAATCCATCACAGCTGCATTTATATTATTCACCTTAAGAAAAGGAAATAAACAAGAGCACATATGAGATTATAAAAATGCCAAATTATAGTGCCTTAAGACTTAGAAAAAACGGAACATTCATGCAGGACCATGCACCTGTGCCTTTAGGCAGGATCATTCTTAAACCATCACAAAAAAAGTCTAAAATTTCCAGAAAAGTTTAAAAAGTTGCTAAATTTTTCTAGGTGACCAACCATAATGCTTAAGAGTTTTCACCATTAGTAAATGTTTCACAAATCATGTGTTACACCTTATTAGTTTCTTCTGGCAGTACTGTTGGTGGTATCGAGCAAATTGTTTTTTCCTAAGACCCTTGAGTTCTTCATCTATAACAGGGAAATAAGGCCTATTATATAAATTGACTACAGATTAAAATGAGATAACAGATACAAGCTATTAGTACAGTTTATGGCACACAGTAGGTACTTAGCAAATTTGAGTGTTTCATTTATCCCCAAATCTCCCCCTGCCAAACCTCCTGGTTGTTACCATTGAGATTAAAACTTGATATACATGAAAATCACTATTAAACTGCCATCAAAATGTTATTCTCCATTCAAAAAAATTCAAACTTTTATAATTTTGCAACTCTCTGATTTCTTCACACTTATGGGCAGTCTAGGAAAGGAGCAAATGTGTCTCTACATACTTGATGGAGGAGTGATCCTCCTCTATCTTGGAAAGTCAGCCTCTTATCCTGGGAGCCTTGTGAATGGATAAAGAGGTATGAGTGCCCATATTCCTAGGCAGTCATATCACCCTAGAGTTTAATGATCTACTAGCATTCCAAACATAAAGCACAGAGAACAGTATAACACCCATGTACCCACAATACAGATCTAACTAATCTTAATATTTATATAATCTTATTTCAAAAGAGCCAAGGGTTATATATTGGATTCTAAAACTTATCAAACAACTGATGAGGATACTAAATGTTAGCATAAATAAACTATGATTTCTTCATGTGGTGTATGTTCTACTTGTATTCCTGATAATATTTCTTTTTAAACCTCATGGATATATCAAAGTCACGCCCAGTTTATGACCATGGTTCATTCCATGCTATCTTGTACCGTAGCTGGTCTATTCTCATCTTTTTCAGAAGAGAAAACGCACCACAAGCTCGAGTGGCCCTGCCCACCGAATCATCCCTAGCGAGGTAAATTAGTCCTAGCTAATGTCCGACATTGTCAATTTTATCTTATTTTTTCCCTATCAATATTCTCGAGCTTTGTTCTGCTTTGTTAGGTGGTACAGGAACACTAATTTTCCTCACTACAAAGGCAAAGCCCTCCTAAGTACTCTATGCAATGTCCCATGAATTACAAGGTTTTCCCATCATGACTGGTAAGAGCTATTCCCATTTCTGTGTGAGGATTGTTCCCTCTAATCCTTTCAAGAGGTTCTGCTCCCAGCCTCAGGTAGTTCCCTACCATGCATGCACTACTCAATACCCGATGCAGGCACGAGAGGTACTGCAGGCCTCTGGAGCACACTCCGCACAGCTCGTCCCTTTCCCGGACTTCAGTGAACTCTCACCGTGGCTCAGACTCCCCACTCCTATGCTCAGCTCAGAGAGACTGCTAAGCTCCCTGTGCATTCCCCCTGCCTTCACTTCAGCCTGGTAACTCTTCAGCTGTAAACTGGGGAATTGTAGGGCTAATCTCTGGTTTATTTCCCCTCTCTCAGGAACAATGTCCAAGGCTGCCTGATGTACGATGCCAGAAAATTACTGTTTCAAAATTTTGTCTAGATTGTTTGCTTCAGGCAGGAAAATAAATTGGTCTCTGTTTTACCATCTTGCCTGGAATTAGAATTCTAAATTGGCAGGGTGTTTTTTCTTTTTTTGGTCAGCACACCTAAAAAGAAGTCATTACATTGTCATTCTGTAATTACCATGCCTTTTTTCTGCCTTTAATATTTTCTCTTCATCTCTAGTTTTCAGCTTGTCTATGGTGTGCTGAGGTGTGGTTTTATTTCTCTCTGTTCTACTTAGGGTTGCTGAGCGGCTTAAATCTATATATTGATGTCTTACACCAGATTGGTAATGTCCTTGTTAACTATTTTTTCAATTATTGACTCTGTTCTATTTTGTCTCTCTTCCCTTTCTGGGACTACAACTATACTCTGCTAGAAGTTTTGATCATGTCTTACAGCTGTCTTATGCTCTGCTCTGTTTTCTTTCTTCTCCCATATTTTTTACCTCTTGATTTTGGACTTCTAGCTTCTAGAACTGTGAGAAGGTATATTTCTGTTGCTTTAAGCCATGAAGTTTGTGGTAATTTATTAGAGCAGTCCTATGAAACTAACACAACCACTACACTGGCATACAGAAACGGAAAAATTAAGTAAATGGATGGTGGGAGCAAAGTTTCTCATTGTTGAAATGAGGAGGTATAAGGACAAGCAAGGGAGAAGGCTAGAGTGGTCCATGTGGTAATGAATTAGAGTTGCAGACACTGGTATGAACTCATGCATTTATGAGTATGACATCTTATTAACTCTACATGGTTACATATAGAAATGTTTATAGATATATGTATACACAGTATACACACATATATACACACATATATCTACATGCTGTGTGAGCTCAGTGGGCCTAGAACCAAGGACATCCTAGTAGCAATCAGCACACCTAAAGCCCCGATCTTGGTTTCTAATACCATTCTATAATAACTGGAACCACAATCTTTGGAGAAATGACTAGTTCCATGGCTGGGGCAAGGAATAGAGCAGATGAGTCTGGAGCATCTTGCATAGCCAGAAAGTAAGGACGTGCTCAAAAAAAAAAAAAAAAAATTATGGGGGAATGTCAAAGGGTCATATTAACAACTGAAAGAGCTCCTAATGGCCAAAGCTAGAACAATTTGAGGAACAAAATAAAGTAGTATTAGCTTATAAGCCAAGGTATAAAAAAAAAAATCCACAAGTCCATACTAATATAACTTGCTATTCCCTAAGTGTGGGCCTCACATAATGATTTTCTTCCAAAGAGTATAGTATGGAGAAGGAAGAAAAGAAAAGTAACTTTATAGTGGAGAAACCTGACAACACCTCTTCAGCTAGGGTATCAAGGTTAATATCAACAGTAATAAGTCACGTTGATAGTATGTATCTTTGATATGATGAGAATGGTACTTTACCTTTGTGGTCTTCCTTCCCCAAATCAACAGCCCTAGTCTAATGATGAGAAAAATATCAGATAAATCTGTATTTTCAGTTTACCAAGTAACTGATCAGTAATCCTCAGAAGTGTCAAGATCATCAAAAACAAGGAAAGTATGAGAAACTGTCACAAGCAAGAGGAGACTAAGGAGATATGATGACTACATGTGATGTGAAATCCTGGATGGGATCTTGGAACAGAAAAAGGACATTTGGTAAAAACGAAGGAAATCTGAATAAAGTATAGACTTTAGCTAATAACAACGAATCAATAATGGGTCATTAATTGTGATAAATGTACCATATGCTACTAATGTTAACAATTTTTTTAAAAAGTCTTAAGAGATTAACCACCATTTGCAATGAGTGGACCCTGTTTGGGTCCTGATTAGAACAAATTAACTATAAAAAGATATCTGTAAATCAATCTGGGAAATCTGATTTATGAACTATGCATAGATGGTACCAAAAAATTTACCTTTAATTTTGGTTGATGTGTTAATATAATTTTGATTATTTCATAGAGACACAAATTGAATAAGAGAAAAATGACACATTGTCAATTACTTTAAAAGTTTAACAAAGGTAAAAAAAGATATATGGAGCAAGGGTGGCAAGATCTTAAAAACTGTTGAACCTGGGTGATGGGAGTATGGGAGTTCATGAAATGATTTTTTCCTACTTTTCATATGTTTTAACATTTTCATAATATGACCTTTTTCATATTACCCTTTTGGTAACTCCCTATTCTACATATGATCATGAATATTTTCATTTATGGAACATTCTATCCTAGTACAAATATCTACAATTCTGATGTTGCATCCCAATATTTAGTATCCCTTAATCCAAGAAATACTTCTAAGCCAAGAAACACTTGCAAGATTTAATAAATTATATTTTTAAAAATACCTAATTGACATTGTACTAGCATCTATTTCTATTTCTGTTACTATTTCTATCACTTAACTTTGATTTTAATGATCTTGTACCATATTCATCCTTCTGTTAGTGTTACTATAAAATTTACAATTAGTACTCCTAATGTTTTGTTTGGCAGCAATAAAAAGAATGAAATAAAAATGTCTTAATTTTCTGCATTGAAAATAGATGCAATAGTTGTAAGAAATGCAAAGCAATTTGATTTGGGAAATTAAGCCTGTCCTTCTAAGTAACAGAAATAACATAGTTGATAATAACCAATCTAAAAAAATGGTTTTTTATGGTCTTTTAAAACTGCTTTTATAGTCTTTCAAACAATTATAGTTGTGCATGATATAGCTCTGTAAGGCCTTGAGTACCATTAGTGAAAATCTGGGCTGTTCACTTTTCACTTCAACTTCTTGCTTTTTATTTTTTGATGTGTATCTGTGTCTGAGAGTTTATGTTCATTTCTCCCTGTCATTTGTAAATTAAGAGTAACAGTGATCCAATAAATGTTTCGATTGTCAAAATCAGAATCCAGAATCTTCAGGTAAATCTTATGTCCTCTTTGGTCCTCAGCTGCCCCATCTGAAATGGCAATGCAATCTTGTTTGTTTGAAGGCAAAGAGTTGGGCTAAATAACATCTTTTAACCTTAAGGTGTGTAATTTCTCAGTGACCAGATTTTATGAAGACTCAATATTGTACTCCTTTTAATAATGCCTGGCCTTTTGGCTGATGTAACAAGCATAGGCTTTTATGTTATATAAAATTGTAATGGTGTTGATATCAATAATAAATGAATTCAATCCTTAAATTGTTGTAAATGACAGTAAAAATGAAACGTCTGGATTAAATATTTATATTTCAATTGTTTCTTCCCCCAAAGCCACAAATTAAGTCAATTACGCAAACCTAACACTGTTCTCACTTTGCACGCAGTTCAGAGGGTTCCTATGGCTTCTTGGGAATTACTTCAGAAGAGTACATGTTACCTAAGCTTCTGTATTTGCTATATAGTCTGATAGGGGGCATGTGGAACATTTCTCAAATGCTGGTCTCCACTGAATTTTCAATAGTTGATAGTAAAATATAAAAACAAAAAATAATTCCCTAGAGTTTACTATAAAGCCAAAATGGGAATGAAATTTTTTAAAAAGGAGAATTTTCTTTCTTGATTGAAGGACATGCCCCAGCATGCAGTAAATAAGTTACCTCACCAGCTTTTTAAAGTTACATAATTTTTCTTTCATAAGGAATGAAAAAAGACCTATAAAATGTACAAAAAGGTAAATAAGAAAATAAGTCATCTATTATGTGATCATTCAGAAAATAAAACTGTTAGGCCAATGGAGAGTGCGGTGGCTCACGCCTGTAATCCTAGCACTCTGGGAGGCCGAGGCGGGCGGATTGCTCAAGGTCAGGAGGTTGAAACCAGCCTGAGCAAGAGCGAGACCCCGTCTCTACTAAAAATAGAAAGAAATTAATTGGCCAACTAAAAATATATACAAAAAATTAGCTGGGCATGGTGGCGCATGCCTGTAGTCCCAGCTACTTGGGAGGCTGAGGCAGTAGGATTGCTTGAGCCCAGGAGTTTGAGGTTGCTGTGAGCTAGGCTGACGCCACAGCACTCACTCTAGCCTAGCCTGGGCAACAAAGTGAGACTGTCTCAAAAAAAAAAAGAGAAAAATCTAAAAAAAAAGAAAAAAACTGCTACAACTGCTGCATTTCTTTACCTTTTTTCTATCATACTTTTTAAATGTTTTTCTTTTATTTAATTAATTAATTAATTTTATTTTATTTTTTTGAGACAGAGTCTCACTTTGTTGCCCAGGCTAGAGTGCCACGGCGTCAGTTTAGCTCACAGCAACCTCAAACTCCTGGGCTCAAGAGATCCTCCTCCCTCAGCCTCCCAAGTAGCTGGGACTATAGGCATGCGCCACCATGCCCAGCTAATTTTTTGTATATATTTTTAGTTGGCTAATTAAATTCTTTCTATTTTTAGTAGAGACGGGGTCTCGCTCTTGCTCTGGCTGGTTTTGAACTCCTGACCTTGAGCAATCCATCCACCTCGGCCTCTTAGAGTGCTAGGATTACAGGTGTGAGCCACCACGCCAGGCCTTAAATGTTTTTCTAATGTGCTTATCCACCTCCGCCCACAATAGTAAGGATTATCTCTAAATCAAATCTAATATAAGCATAGCTATTTTATTGCACTTCACTTTATTGTGCTTCACAAATACTGTTTTTTTTATAAATTGAAGGTCTGCTGCAACCCTGCATTCAACAAGTCTATTGGTGCCATGTTTCCAATAACATGTGCTCACTTCATGTCTCTGTGTCACATTTTGATAATTCTTGCAATATTTCAAACTTTTCCTTACCATTATATCTGTTACAGGGATCTATGATCAGTGATCTTTGATGCTACTATTATAATTGTTTTGGGATGCCACAAATTGTGCCCATGTAAGGCACAAACTTAATTGATAAATGTGTGTGTTCTGATGCTCCATGGACTGGCTGTTCCCATCTCTCTCCATCTCTTCAGGCCTCCTCATTCCCTGAGACTCAACAATATTGAAATTAGGCCAAATAATAACCCTTCAATGGCCTTGAAGTGTACAAGTGTAAGGAAGAGTCACACACCTCTCACTATAAATCAAAAGCCATAAATGATTAAGCTTAGTAAACAGGCATATCAAAAGCTAAGACAGGCTGAAAACTAGGTCTTTTGCCCTAAACAGAGCCAAGTGGTGAATACAAAGGAAAAGTTCTTGAAGGATGTTAAAAGTACTACTCCACTGAACACGGAAGTGATTAGAAAGTGAAACAGCTTTATTGCTCATAAGGAGAAGTTTTAGTGGCGTGAATAGAAGATCAAACCAACCACAACATTCCCTTAAACCAAAGCCTAATACACAGCAAGTCCAAAACTTTCCTCAATTCTATGAAGGCTGAGAGAGGTGAGGAAGACAGAAGAAAAGTTTGAAACAAGCAGAGATTGGTTCATGTGGTTTAAGGAAAGAAGCCATCTCTATAACATAAAAGTGCAAAGTGAAGTAGCAAGTGATGATGTAGAAGCTGTATCAAGTTATCCAAAGATCTAGCTAAGATAACTGATGAAGGTGGCTACACTAGGCAACAGATTTTTCATGTGGATAAAACAGCCTTCTATGGGAAGAAGATACTACCTAGGACTTTCATATCTAAAAAGAAGTCAACGCCTGGCTTCAAAGCTTCAACGGACAGACTGACTCCCATTACGGAGTGGTGACTTTAAGTTGAAGCCAATGCTCATTTACCATTCCAAAAATCCTAGGGTCCTTAAGTATTATGATAAATCTACTCTACCTGTACTCTATAAATGGAACAATAAAGCCTGGATGATAGCACATCTGTTTATAGCATGGTTTACTGAATATTTAAAGCCCACTGT